GTCAAGGTGGAGGGCAGCAAAGCCATCAAGTATGCCTGGAAGTCCGAGAAAGGAAAAACCTTCGGGGTGGTGGGGGGCTGGGTGAGCTATGTCTGCTTCTATGGGCATGAGGGGAGGGTAGTCACTACCCAAGCCCAGGTCTTAAAAATGCGTACAGACCAAGGGTAGGTCAATGTGTGTGGAACAAGCCTGTGTCCCTAGGCCTCAGCAGGTGCTCACAAGAAGTACTGGAGACCAGAGAGGTGCCCTGGGTGGGTGGGTAGGCAGGCTGTGGGGCTCAGGTAGAGGAGGAACAGATGCAGACTCTCCCTCCAGGGAAATCAGAGTACACCCTTCTTCCTCCAGGCCAGCACAGACATCTGTGGGAAATAGAAACAGACTGCCTCTGCCTCTGGAGTAAGGACCAGAATCCTCCGGCCCACGAAAAGGCCTTTTCTAAGGACAGCAAAAGCTCTATAGTAGGAGGCAGAGCCAAAAGCTGTCTAAGGCTTGGGAGTCTACAAAATGGCTGAGGCTGAGCAAAACATCCCAACCTAGGACCTCCGAACACAAGGCAGGCTGGTTTCCCTCCAGACAAAGCTGTGTAGTTCAAAAAATAGCCACAAGTAGTTCGTGCTTCTTTCTCAGCCTCTAGTTAGTGGAAGTGTTTCTTCTCATATTTCTCCATTTTGTTTTACTTCTCTCCTATACCCTGTTATTTCTGTGGAGAACTAAGTTGTATAGCCCTCACCTAATCCCCTCAGCAGTCTGTCTGCCATGTGGCATCAGGAGAAGGGGCTGTGGAGTTGGATGGAATCACAGGGAAAAGGCGAGATTCAACAGCCTGCCTTTTACTTTTGGCAACCGGCCTCCCCTGGATTTAACTGAGATAAAGCATATGGCTACCAACTTTGAAGGGGTGGGAAACGACCACCACATCTCTGCTCACAGTCACAGCAAAGGAAAAATACTTCACAGAACTTGCACTTCTCCACCCACCCTTTGCATTTGAACAATTAAAAATGGTTTAAAGAAAAAAGAAAGCATTAAATATGGTGCTTATCCATAGATCACTCTCAGATTTCAGAGATCACCTCTGATCTGGACTAGTGTTCTTTTCAGAAGTCAGTAGTTCAAGCACCTTGGTGTCTGTGGGCCAGAAATTTGCTTGCAGTCACCTGGCACCCTCTGCCTGCCCGGCCCAGTGCCCAGTGCCCAGAAGGCCAGGTGCTGGCGGAGCCCAGCCTGGTGGGCTGAGCCTCTGCTGAGCCCAGCTGCCTCCAGAAAGGAAGCAGAGGGATCCACAGAAGACAGGGTGTGGGCACCCCCAGGGTCTGTGTGTGGATTCTGAACTTAACTTAGACCCTGCCTTTCACTCTCGTTGATGAACTGGCGACCTTGGTGCTGCAAGAGCTGACTCCTCAGCCTTGAAAGGCCTCTGCAAAGCTCTTGAGGTCCCTTGAAAAGCAGTTCCTTTCTCCTCTATGCGACTTCGGATCTTATCTCTTATCCAGGCCACTTGTGCATTTTTTAAAATGATTTGCTTTTACTTTGAACATATCTGTTTCCTCCCCCAGTACTGAGTTCTTCAAGGGAAAGAGTCTGTGCTCTGCCAGGCATGGTGGGGTCTCTGTAAATGTGTATTCAGATGGATGAAGCTGATGCTCAGCCCTGGAGCAGCAGGGATCCTTCCTGAGGGGGAGACAGGCATTGCTGCAGTCCTGTTGCCTGTGTGACTGCTTGTGCATCATCTCCTAGGCCTCCTCACCCCCTTATTAGCTGTGCCTCTGCACTTGCTCTGTGACTCAGATTCAGACATTGGATGCAGGTCACCATGGTCATAGATGTGAAGGTAAGCTGGGAAGACTGCTGAGCTGAAATAAGCTAAAATAAAGCAAGAAAGTTAAAGAATCATACAGAAGAAAGAGAGCATTGAACCAGGGCCTGGGATGGAGGCTGAGGCAGGCTGAGACCTGCAGACCCACTCAGATAGGCCACCCTTTGTTAGAGAGTGGCGCCTTCTGCCAAGCTTGGGGAGGAGGCTTGTAGGCAGGAAATAACATCCTGGCATTCAACTGCAGAGCTCGCAACAGGATCCTCAGGGCTGGTTATCAGGACTGAGCGTTTGCCCTCAACCTTTTGGTAATGAACCAGGGAAGGTGTCTTTTCATCATCTAATAAATAGAAGCATAGCCGCTCCTAAGGTACAAATCCCAGTCCTTTTCTCCCAGGAAGAGGTCGGCTTCGTGTGGCTGTGCCCCAGAAAGGCTGTGTGGTTCAGCTTGTAATTGCCAGTCTGGGCCTTGATTTCTGTGACTTAGGAGGAAAGCAGGGGTCCGAGATCTCAGTATCTCCTTCCATTTGGGATTCTAAACTCAGAATGGTTAGGATCCATCCAGGCTGAGCTCTGGACATTGGCTCCAAAGAGCAGGGACCACCCTGGGGCACTGGTGGTGAACATTTGGTATTTCCTGCCAGGTTTACCAGCTCCCCACTTGAGGCCTTCAGGACCAACCAGTGCCTCTGTGGTGACTGTGCCCCTGAGCAGGTGTTGAGCCCCACAGCCAGCACCAGGGCCACACTGGTAACTGCCCCTTGGAGTCAACCTCTGCAATGAACATGTGACAGCAGTTACTGCCACTGCTTCCGCTTCCCATGACATCTCTAGGGTGGCCTTCTGTACTAGAACCTCTGAACCTTCTCAAGAAGGGTGGTATGAACGCTGCATGCCAGCCTGTAGAGATGGCAGTGCCCTAGACAGGAGCAGGGACTCCTCTGGGGAGTATGGCCCTGGGAAGGCTCAGTGGCAAAGCTGCAGGCAGTGGGCAAGATGGGTATCCTCAGGGCCTCAGCAGAATCCCTCACTTGACAAATCACCTGTGCCTGAATTTGTGCTTTGCAAATTGAGTTGAGAGGACTGGGTTGTGTCTGCTGCTGTTCTTCCACCTCCCCCAGCCTCCTATTGAAAGAGACAGCTGCTGCCTTCAAGCTCACTTTCTGCCTTTGCTATCAAAACTGGCTGTGACCTATCTTTGATCTGACAGACTCATTCACACTGGGGTGTGAAGAATGCACACAGCGTTGGGCCCTGTGGTGAACAGTTTACAGACTCTGCAAGAGGAGGAAATCTAATGGCAGTTGTCAGGCATTTCGGGGATACAAACGTACACCTGCTCGCACAAACAAACATACATGTGCACACGCACAGATGTATATGCAAACATACACGCCCGTGTGCTGCTAGGGCTGGCGTGTTGGTAGGCAGAGATTTGGCAGCTGTGTTCACTGGCTTCTCGAGGCACAGGCGCAGGGCATCTGAACAGCGGGCAGGTAGCTCCTTTGCAGCCCCTGGCTCTCTTTTCTGCACCTCTTTCTGCCACTCTGCTGAGGCTCTTAGGTAGAGTTCTGCACAGTTCCCTTCCTTGGTCCTGACTGCAGGGGGCCTTTCCTTTGCTGGATATGACAAAGCTACGTGGCTGGGATAATAATACTTGACCACTTCCAGGAAGAACCTGTATTCGTATGTAACGGGAATTTTCTGAAAATGATGCCTAGACTCAAGCAAAGTGGCAATTTCAGGAACCAGGGTGAGAGACAGAGGTCAGTCAGGGACCCCTCACGCCACACACTGAGCAGCCACCCCCGTTGTCATTTTTATCAGTCATAGCTTGCAGTGGCTCTGTGAGATTTCCTGGAAAGGAAAGTGCTGGAACCAAGCTGATCAAAACAGGAGATAGAGAAGGGGTGGAGAGGGGAGGAGTGGAGAGCTGCTGGCAGGGAAGGAGGAGGCGGGAAACAACACAGGAAGCTGGGGACGGAGGCGGCTCACAGGCTGTGGGACTAGATCTCATCCTTTAGAGCTGAACCTTCTTCCGTGGTGTGAGCGAATTACCTGTGATCTGAGTCATGTCTGCTGAGTCATGTCAGCTCTGCCATGTCAGATTTTGCTGGGAAGTTTTGAGACCTTAAAGTAGAGGCTCAGAGAAGTAGGAGGGTGACAATATGTCCTGAGCTGGGGGCTTTCTGGGGAACACAGGACAGTTCCCAGGCATGACTGGAACTTTGGTTGGTTAGTGAAATGTCTGCTTTTGTGGGTGGACGGTTGAGCATGAAAAATGTGTTTTCTTTTGTTTTTCCTACAGCATAGCTACAGGCAGTCTTCTTTGGTTGCATCTGAAATGGCAGGCTTGCAGAAAAATAATTTTAATGCGAATGTTTCTATGGAGGAAATTATATCGCTGGCTGGGTGGTAGCACTTAGTCTCATATGGCCTTATTTGAAAGTTCGTCATCTTGCTAAGTGTATGTCAAGTTCTTCAGATGTTGAAGATGCCGTGGAATCATCTCTTTGCTTTTCCTGGTCACTGCTGCAAAAACTGACTCGGACACTGAAGCTTCACCACCTGTTTCAATTACTAACATGCAACACTCGCATCAGTGCACTTTCTAGCACGATGACAAAATACCTGAGAAAGTAAACTCAGTGAGAGAACAGGCTTAGTTTGGCTCATGGTTTCAGAAGTCCCACTCCCTGGTCAGTTGGCCCTGCTGCTTTGGCCCATGGTGACACAGTATATTGTGGTGGGAGTATGTGGTAGAGGTAGCTATTCCACTCTTGGAAACCAGATTAAAGAGAGGGGAGATGAGAGGGAAGAGACCTGCAGCCCATGTCCCCCTCAAAGCTCCCAGGAAGCTAACATCCTCCAAGCTAGCCCCACTCTTAAAGGCTGCACTGCCTGGGTCTTTGGAGGCCACTTCCAAACCATGGCTTCCCCACCTTCACTGATATCCAGGGACTTGGTCTTGTGAGCATCCTTTCTGTCTCTGCTCTCCTGGTCCCCATGCTTCTACCTACAGAGCAGGTATTTGGGGAGCCTGGAGCACGGTGCTCCATGAGGGAGCAGACTGCTCAGGGTCCCTGCAGACCACCGCTCAGCCCTCTGGCCCCATCCTCCCCCCAGCCTCTGGGAAAGGCAGGGTGCAGAGCCCACTGAGCCATGCTTCCCACCTGTGTCTTTGCAGAATGGGCTGAACGGCTTGCATCTGGCCTCCAAGGAAGGCCATGTGAAGATGGTGGTTGAACTTCTGCACAAGGAGATCATTTTAGAAACAACAACCAAGGTATGTCTCTCGGGAAATGGGGCTCTTTGCGTTAAATATTCCAGGCTGCAGGACCCTTTAACATTATCCTAAACACTGGCCTAGAAGCCAGTCCTTTGGGGAAAGAACAACAAATGTCGGCCTGAGTTCGTGTTGTCCTTCTGGTCTCCCAGTTCACTGAGTCCCTGATGTACGAGACACATAGGATTCTGCTTTCAGAAAGATTCAGGGGCCCTTACTTTCCTCATCACCACTTCGCAGCGTGGAGTTTCTGACCCTTTTTCTGGTGGTTTCATGGGCTGTTGACTTATACAGGGACCCTGAGTCCCTGAAGCCTCTGAGTCAGGAGCCTCAGGTTGAAATCCCAGCTGAGGTGCTTCCCCTCCCTGTGACCATTGGCCTTCCTCAGTTTCATCATGCGTAACATGAGGAGTGTAATACTCAGTTACAGTGCAGGGGTGCATGCAAAGCTCACTTAGGCATATAGGAAGGAATCGGTAAGTACTTGTGGCTTGTTACTGAGGGCTGGACGAGAGTCTAGTGAAGTTTTATTTTTTAAACTTATTTGTTAAACAGAGATAGGCAGGATTTAAAAAGCAAAACTGACCATTAAACAACAACAGAAATCACCTCCATTTAGGAGCACAAGCGCTGTCTCCTGGATGCCTTGCTCGCCTGCGCTGCTTCTCCCATTTGTGCTTGAGCTTCCCCCACCTCTTATTTCCCATGTTATTCAGTAAGGGGTCTCTCACACTCAGCCTCAGTTTCAGTTCCTTGCAGCAAGTGTTTTGCTGCCTCTCAAGCAGAGAATATGGAGGAACAATATGTAGAGAACAGATATAATTCATGGGTGTGAAGTGCACTACCAAAATATTGTGAAGGTAGAGTCATCTCTTTAGGTAAAATTGTGTAATTTTCATGTCATTTCCCCAGTGTGAGAAGACCTCATTTGCACGTAGTGGTAAAATAAACCAAGCTGCTCTTTCTGGCTGTAGATTGGGGCATTTTTTTCTAACCCCATTTTCCTCTGTCCTGTGAATGAAGGGCCATTACTGGGATTATTTTTTGACCCTCTGTACCTGGCTGCAAGCGGTGCCCCACCCGACAGGCTCTGCGCAGCAGGCGGCTGCTCTTCCTGGCACCTCCCCAAGAGCTATGAAAACATTATGCTTCAGCAATTTTTCTCTCTCCAAATTCCTCTCTTTGATTGTTATTTTGCAATGAACACTTGGTATGTCTTTTTATTTATAGAAATTTTAGAAGCCAGTGTGGTTTGCCTGTGTGGAAATGCCACACAGAAGGAGGGAGGGGGAAAGTGAAACTGAAACCGTGGGTTTAGGAAGACTCCTAGCAGATTGAGAAATTGCAGTGGGTCTCCCAAGCCTGGGAAAAATTAAAAATATAAAACAACAAGAAGCCAAAACCAATCTAGACTCCTAAGCTGTGCCTAGAAGTGTGAAAGCATGAAGTGAGCACACTGGCTGCCTGTGGCTGGTGAACAGGGCAAGCTCCCCTCTGCTCAGCGGCGCAGGCTGGTTCCATGCCCTCCTTGCTCTGGCTCTGAGTCCCTAAAAATGGAGAAGCTGGATCAAAATGGAGCTCACTGATTTCTCCTTGTCCTGGGAGGCCCAGTTCCTCTGTGCTGAGAGAAGGGCAGGGAACGCAGAGGCAGGCCACAGACTTGTGACTCCCTGGGCCAGAGCCTTGACCTTCTTGAGCCTTGCTCTGTGTGTGTGTGTGTGTGTGTGTGTGTGTGTGTGTGTGTGTGTCCAGGTGATGCATGTGTGAACAGGGAGCAGAGGTCCGTTTCCCAGAGCCTTCTCTTTGTCCTTCGTCTCACCAGTGCTGCCCTCTACCCTATGACGTGAGCTGAGATTTGCACTCAGGTTTCCACAGAGACCACCTGCCAAAAGAGAGAGGGCCCCCCTTCTCTCAGGCAGAGGAAGGTCCTCGTGGGCAGACTTCAGGCAGGGGAGTCAGGTGAAAAGAAGGCTTGGACAGATGTGTCTTGGACAGATGGGCATAAACCCAGGTCTCAGTTCCCCCTTGGTGAGGAAGGTGCATATGCAGGTGACAGATGGCCACAGTCAGGGACTAGGTTTGAAGTCTGTGCTTGTCACCTCTGTAAATGGATTGTCCATGTAGTTTAGTTTAAAATAGATTTTAGTTTAAAATATCTTTCTATATGCTGGAAGAACTGGTTCCAGGAAATCTAGGATATTCAGACCCCTCATATCAAATGACATAACTTACACACATCTTCTAATAGGCCACATCATCTCTCGATGATTTAGGATGTCTAGTACCATGTAAGTGCTATGTAAGTAACTGTCACATAGTACTATTTAGTGAATAATGACAAGTACAAAATCTGTATGTGTTCAATACAGGTGCAGTACTTTTCTGATACTTGCAGGCCAAAGTTGGTTGAATCCTGAGATTCAGAATCTGAGGGTTTGAGGGCCCAGTGGAACTCTTAGAGTTGAAGTCACTCGTTTTAATCTCTGCTCCTTAGGCAGCACAGAGGTGATGAGTCCAGCTGTGGTCCCATGTTCTCCATCTGCCCTATTTGAAGGAAGGGCTAAGTAGAACCTGAATCCAGAATGTCCCTAAGTAAGGGAGCCAGTGCCAGTGGTACAGGGCATCTGGTTGGGCCATGACAGTAGCTTTTCTGCCTCAGCCTCCTGTCTGGGAACACAAGCTTGCGCTAGCTTGCCTGACTCTCATTTTATTTTATTTTTTGGTGGTACCAAGGATTGAACTCAGGACACTGTGCTTGCCAAGCAAGCACTTATTCCACTGAGCTATCTCCCTGGCCCCAGCCTGACTTTTATTATTGGTTCTTATTTTTCAAAAAGTTTAAAACAATAATATAATTGTGTGCTCCATTTTTCTCCCTGGATTTATTATGTTTCTCTCCTCTCCACTTTGGTGAAAGCTTACTTACCTGGTTTTACTTAATATTTTGATCTTCTTTCTCTATATTTCGTTTTTTTCTTTATATTTCCTTTGCCAGATTTTATTCCATCGATGTCCCCCCATTTGTTTCCATATTTTCCTTCTCTTCCCCATGGATATGTTAGAGTGTTTCTCACCCTTTCCTTTTCTCCTCAATACTTTGCTTTCTTACTCATCTTCTGTGGCTTTTGTCCCCTCTGGTCCAGCCTTTGGCCCTTAAAAGAACGGAGGACACCATGCTGTAGTGCCCACCACCCTTTCCAACAGCCCCCAGCCAGTCCAGGGCTCTGTGTCCACTGAGTGGAGCTGCAGGTCCTAGAGGCCCACCTGCCCACGTGTCCTGGGGGCCTCAGGCTCAGCTGGCCACAAGCCCCTGTGCTCTGTGCACTGGGCCTGGGTAGGGCAGTCATGTCAGCATACATTCTTACATGCAGGACTATTGTTCACAGGTCATCTAGAAATTTCTCTCCCCATATTTCATGCTATTACAAGATATGTGGTAGGCCAGGTGCACATGTGCACATTCCATCCCCCTCAACCTGAGGAAAGGCTGCTGGGACTCAGTCTTGCCCTGATTGTGTGGCAGGCAGGGAACTTCCTCTCTACCTCCTTGTCTATTTCAGAAAGGGAACACCGCTCTGCACATCGCTGCGCTCGCCGGCCAGAATGAGGTGGTCCGGGAGCTAGTCAACTACGGTGCCAACGTCAATGCCCAGTCACAGGTGACCACCATGTGCTGCTACACAGTGGGAATGCCACACACACACAGTGGCAGTCTAGGGTTATTAGCCCACATTATCTACCCTTCATCACTTTTTGTGGTTCTTCTACAGGTTGGAGTTGGGTCATTGTGGACCCCACATCTGTTCAATAAATCAGCCATATAATACTTTTAGTTAACGCCCAATTAGGGGGATAAATATTATGTGTGCTAGGGAGGAGTTAATGAAGTGAGCAAAAGCAGAGGGGAACGTGGGAGCCTAAGGCTGACTGGAAAGGGCGTGTCCCCACCTTGTGGCCTTTTGGAATAATTCTACCAGTTCAGTTGAGAGTGACAGCAGGTAGGACTGAATGGAGATGAAGAAGAAGCTATCTTGTGGGGGGAGCTGTTTTGTGACCCTGGCCACTGTATGTGGACATGAATGGCTTTTCTCTGGGTTTACAGAAAGGCTTCACACCCCTGTACATGGCAGCACAAGAGAATCACCTGGAAGTAGTTAAGTTTTTACTGGAAAATGGAGCCAATCAGAACGTGGCCACAGAAGTGAGTACTGTGGGAGACATTGAGATGGGACATCCTTGCCACACACATCACAATGGAGGTCACATGCCAGTGAGTGCTCCAAGACTACAGGCCTTGGAAAATGGTTCTGGGTGCCCTTGGGTATTGTGAGGGAATGAGAGGCAAAGTCACAGGTCTTGGAAGGCCCAGCCACATAGCAAAGAAGTGATGCTGGGCTCAAGGATGTCATTCCTGCGATAGCCAGCGCTGAAGGCTGGCAGGCTGAGTGCTGGCTATATTGGACTCACAGGCAACCTGGGGCCTTCTGAGAAGGGGTCTTGTTGCAAACCCATGGTACACCCTTGGGCAAGTCCTCTTAGTGCTGGTCTCAGTCTTGCCTGTAAATGGTAGGATGGAGCTGGATGGGGCTGTGGTTTCTCTAGCCCTTTGACACTGAATGGCTCAGTGACCATGTGACTTTATTACAGCTTCACCACTTCATGAGGTCCCAGAACATTCATGGGAATACGCAAGGGAATCAGTATGAGTAACCCAGTCCAGTGCTCTGGGCCTGACTTGGTTTCTAGTGTGTGACAGGTGTTCTGCCATTTCAAGGCTCAGTACGGTACCAGAAGATGGGATGAGAAGGAGCTTAGGCCAAAACCAAGGAGCAATTAAAAGTCTCATAAACTGGCCAGGGTGGCTCACAGTCATAATCCTGATACTCTGAGAGGCTAAGGTAGGAAGATTAAGTTTAAGATTAGCGTGGGCAACTTAGTGAGAGGCTTAATGAGATTCTGTTGCAAAAAAAGAAAGAAAAAAACTAAAAGGCTGGAAATGCAGTTCAGTACAGAAGTCCTGGGTTCATTCCCCAATACCTTAAAAAACAATAAAATAAAAAGACTTGAATAGCACACATTCAGCCTCGAAATAAAAATAAGGAAAGGTAAGGCCAAAAAAAAAAAAAAAAAAAAAAAAAAAAAAACACTTCAGGCCCTGTGAGAAGGTGGAGCAAGCAAGTGGGACCCAGAAGGGGCCCTGGGAGGAGGTGCTATGCAAGCTGAGCCTGCAAGCGGGAGGGGGCTTCAGACGCAGAGCAGTGCTGGAGCAGTCCTTTCAGTCTGGGGCCCCTGTGAGCCAGCACACCAGGTGGACCTCTGTGTCCTGTCTGCAGCCCAGGCACACTGGTCCTTCCCCTCCTCCGCAGGATGGCTTCACCCCGCTGGCTGTGGCTCTGCAGCAGGGCCACGAGAACGTGGTGGCCCACCTCATCAACTACGGGACGAAAGGCAAGGTACGCCTCCCGGCCCTGCACATCGCGGCCCGCAACGACGACACGCGGACGGCTGCTGTGCTGCTGCAGAATGACCCTAACCCGGACGTGCTTTCCAAGGTGAGGACCTGGAGAGCAGTGGGCCACACTCGGGGAGTCTGCAATGGATAGAGGCACTGTCCCTCCCCAGCTCCTTCCTGCGAGTGAGCCAGACCCTTGATGGCCCACTGCGCATGCGCAGGGCGCTGCCAAGCATCCAGGGGGTTGTTAACAGGATGCGTCCGAGCGTCTGGTGGGGCAAGGGTCAGCTGGAGGTCGAAAGGTGGCATGCTAGACTTCTGTCTCCTTTTGTCCCACCTCGTCCCTCGGCAGGGAGAGTGTTCCTACCATTTAGGGGCTGGAGCACGGGGAAGGGGCTCTCCAGGAGGTGTGGCCTGTTCTGCACTATTGGATAGTACCTGGCGCCTGTAGGCAGTTCTCTGTGGAGTGGATTTGCACTGTTTGCCATGAAGACCCCCTTCCCATCCCAGGCTGGGTATGGAAAGACGTTGACCAAGCACAGATGTGGTGCGAGGACCCAGAAAGAGTACCAGAGGGGTCAGAGGTTGCCTGGACGTGGGCAGCTGAATCATCTGAGGATACAAGTGCCACATCACCTTCATCATGAACTAGATCTCTTTATAAGTTGCCATCCAGGGGAATAGGCTAGGACTTGAGGGGAACCTCGTGAGCCACAGGTGTGCCTCCCTCTTAAATAACTTTCCACCAGTGTCTCTTGGCCCCTCTGCAAATGTTGCCACCTGCCAGTCCACTATATGCCTTGAGTCCTCCAGAAACCTGGGCTATCCCAGGTGACAGCGCAGGTGGCCGCAGGTGACGGGTTTCCTCTCTCTGTTGTGCTCAGACGGGGTTCACCCCACTCCACATCGCAGCCCACTATGAGAACCTCAGCGTGGCCCAGCTGCTCCTCAACAGGGGTGCCAGCGTCAACTTCACACCGCAGGTATCCTCACGGGCTCCTTTCCAGCCTGTCACGCTCGGCCATGGAGCTGTGCATGGTGCCGCAAAGCTGTGGGGAGGTGGCCCTGGAGACTGGGAGGCCTCCTGCCGCCCATCCTGCAGTGGGTGCAGGTGGGGGTGGGCGGGGCCAGCACCTAGAGAGGGCACAGTCACGCCAGCGCCCTGACCAGCCTGCTCCTCCCCCCAGAATGGCATCACGCCCCTGCACATCGCTTCCCGCAGGGGAAATGTGATCATGGTGCGGCTGCTGCTGGACCGGGGAGCACAGATAGAGACAAGGACCAAGGTGGGTCCCAACACCCTTTGCACTAGGCAGAGTGGGGAGGGATACGGCCTTCGAAGCTGGCCTTCGAAGCTGGGCTGGCCTTCTACACCCCACCGCGCCTTCATGGCCTCTGACAAGTGCCTCTGGCATTCTGTTTTCCACTCTGTCTTCTGCAGGATGAATTGACACCTCTCCACTGTGCAGCTCGGAATGGGCACGTGCGCATCTCAGAGATCCTGCTCGACCACGGGGCGCCCATCCAGGCCAAAACCAAGGTCTGTGTTCCCCTGCAGGGAAGTGTTAGGGCCCTGCTCCGGGTCACACGAACCTGGGAGGGTTTCCCATGTCTGGAAAAGAGAGACACAACCAGAGGGGCTGGGGATACAGCGCAGGGGCATAAGCACCTGCCTGGCCAAGAGAGGTGGAGGGGAGATGCTACTACAACTAAAGGCAAATGCACCTGTGATATTTATAGTCAGAATCATGAAAGCTGGGAAGCTTTGTATCTAAAGATATTAGGTACCTTTAGATACCTTTAGGGCCTACTCTGTTGTAATAATTAAATTCTGCCAATAGAGCAGAAGATCAGCCCTGAGCAATACGCAGATTAGTGACCATGCACCAGTAAAACTTTATTCACAAGCACAAGTAGTAGCCAAATTTGGCCCCCTGGCTGTAGTTTGCATACTTCTCTACATCAGTCCCTAGCACTTTCATTCTAGCTCTAGGATAGACAGGAGCTAAAAACTACAAATTTGCAGAGACTGGGCCAGATGGAAGAGAAACTAAAAAGAAAAAGTCAGGCCATGCAGCACGGTGGCATGGTGGGACATGTCTATAATCCCAGCACTCAGGCTGGGGAGATAGCTCAGCGGTCTAAGTGCCTGCCTGGCAAGTGCAAGGACCCAGGCTCCATCCCCAGTACCACATGCTGTGCCTACTCCAGAACCCCGAGTGCACCATGCTGGCCACTGAAATCAGGCATGGTGGTGAATGCCTAGAATCCCCATACTGGGGAGGTTAAGACAAGAGGATCACTGCAAGTCCAAGCTGTGTGGTGAAACCCTGTAAATAAATAAATATATAAATAAGAATTTTTAAAATTCCCAGCACTCTGGGAGACTGAGACAGGAGGATTGAAAATTAGAACCCAGCCTGGACAATTTAGCAGCTTAGACCCTGTCTTGAAGTAACAGAATAAACAAAAAAAAGTAGGGATGTAGGTCAGCATAGAGGCCCTAATATAGCCCAAAAAGAAGAGATGGAGTAAGAGAAGGAAGTAGGGGGGAGAGAAAGAGAGCTCCCATATCCCATACTAGGAGGGCACGGTTGCATATCCCTATAACCCAGCACTCTGGGAGGCTGAGCCAAGACCAAAAGTTCAAGCTCAGCCTGGGCAACTTAACAAGACCTTATGTCCAAATAAGAAATTTAAGTTAAAAAAAAAAAGGCTATAGATGTAGCTCAATGCAGAGGCCCTGGGTTCATTGCCCAGTAACCACACACACACACACACACACACACACACACACACACACACACACACACACAATATTGTTCTCAGACTCAGTTGGAAGCTGGAGTAGAGCCCATTTCTAGGTTCTAGCATGAAGACTTGGATTGCCATGAGGGCCTAACACTCATCCACAGTGCTTCCTGTCCCTCCTGCAGGCCCTCTGACTATTACTTGGGGTGAATTTAAAAACCTGTCAAAGCAAGGCAGAAAACAGGCCCACTCACAGCCATGGATGTGTATATGCTGCAGCAAACAACAGAGGAGTTTAGACCCAAGTGGTGATTTGCCTCCTTCCTTCCCTCAAGACTATTGGTTAAGAACCACTGTACATGATACGTGCATTTTCAGGGCAACAGGAGGCTGGGGGGGGGGAGTTTAAAAGCATTAGGCAGGAGGGCTGGGAAGATAGCTCCAAGAAATAAGAGTCTGCCTGGAAAGTGCAAGGTCTTGAGTTCAATCCTCAGTACTCAAAATAATTAGGCATGAAGAAACTTGTGAATTGGGGGGAAAGACACATCAGTAAAGGCGGCTGTTCCCTGCGAGGCTCAGCAAATGTGGGAGTGAAGCCTCCATCAGTGACACAGGTTGGGGAAGTCCTCAGCCCCAGGCTGCTCAGGGGAGGCTTTGTGGAAGAGGCAGTGCTGGCCAGACAGGGTATGGAGGATTTGGCTGGATGAGAAGGAGAATGTTGTGGTCAGAGTTTGTCAGGAAGAGGAGGCTCACTGAGGATTCAGGTTGGAGCAGTGGGAAGTGATGTTGTCATGTCAGTGTCACTCCAGTTTGTCACTTGGTGTCTGACTCAGAGGCCATTGTCCTGAATTTTTGTGTTCTTCCCTAGAAGGCTTTGTGATCTCTTGTTTCTTGTTCATCCAGAATGGCTTGTCCCCCATTCACATGGCGGCTCAGGGAGACCACCTCGACTGTGTCCGACTTCTATTGCAATACAATGCAGAGATAGATGACATCACCCTGGACCACCTGACACCCCTCCATGTGGCAGCCCACTGTGGCCATCACAGGGTGGCCAAGGTCCTGTTGGATAAAGGGGCCAAGCCAAACTCCAGAGCCCTGGTGAGTCATTGGCAATGGGAGAAGGGGCTGCAGGATCCAGGGCCTGGTTCAGGAGCAGCAAGGTGTCCCCAAAGATACTACAGACCTCAGGGCTAGTTTTTTGCCCAAAGAGTTGACTCAGGCAGCAGTGTGCATGTTATATATATGGGATGGGGTGCCAGAGCTGAGGGACAGTGGCATCTTAGGTGCTTCCTCTCCCTAGTTACCCAGGCCAGAGGTCCAGGGCATCTGGGGACCTGGTGGGCCATCTGTCTCCACAGAGCTCATGCAGGATCACTTATGCCCTTGCCCTTTGCCAGAGGAGAGCTGAGGGGCCGGGTGTTTCCAGGGAGGAAAGGAGGCCCATCATGCATTCACTGTACAGGGTCTCTCGAGTGCTGGCCACAGTCCCACACTCATGTCTCTGAGGTTTAACCTCAGGACAGTTGATGTCCTGTGTTGTCCTGGTCACCATCATGAGCTCCTTCCATTGGGCACTGGTAGCTTCTCCCAGTTGTGACAACCAGAAGTGCTCCTAGACATTATCACTGTCTGGGAAGGGTACAGGCCATCCCTTTCCTCACACACCACTTTCCCTCTTTCTGAGAACCAGGCCTTGGTTTGAGAGAAAGCACTGAAAATACAGACAAAAAAGAACAAACAAAAGGCCCTGCTCCTGTTCCTTAGGAGTTTACATTCTGAAATACCACTTCAGAGCAGAAATCCGTCTCACCAAAACCATCTGCAGTTTCAGGGCAGAAGGAACATGATTTGCTTCTGAAAGTACTCTTTATTGTAAATTTAGCCTTAAGGGAGCTTTACAGAGTGCATCCGGAAATGGGATAGAATTTTCCTAAAAAGCATGTGCAGAAACACGCTCTGTACACAAGGCAATGTCTACCTGTTTCTTATGCAATCTACTCTAGCAAATATCACAAAGTCAGCCTGGGACCTGCATTTATTCATTGGTCTGGGAGCTCAGGGGTGGCCATTCAGTCCCCAGGTTCCCCTGAGCTCATGTGTAACCCTGACATCTGTCTCCCTTTGCATGGGGCTACAGAATGGCTTCACCCCCCTACACATCGCCTGCAAGAAGAACCATGTCCGCGTCATGGAGCTGCTGCTCAAGACAGGGGCTTCCATTGAGGCGGTCACTGAGGTAGGATATGTGCCCTGGCTCTGTGCCAGCCTCCCTCCTTGAGCCCTTTCCCTCTCTGAGAGCTAGTTCTCCTTCCTAGCTGCCTGTGGCTGCAGAATTGTGTGTGTGTGTGTGTGTGTGTGTGTGTGTGTGTGTGTGTGTACCAGTCAACAGAGTGAATCTGGACTGAAACTGGGGACCTGTATCAAGCCTCAGAGAGCTTTGCAAGATCCAAAGCAATTTTTTCAGTATAGAAGTGCAGAATGTTCCCTCTGGTAATTTTGCTCCTTGGATCTTTGTTCTGAAAGCAAACGTACCTCCTTTAACTCTTTTCTCTTGGAGATGCAGCCCCGAGCACCTAGCAGTAAGTGGAAGCATTAGTTTTGCTGCCCTCTCCTCCAGGGGCGGGTGCCACCCACCCAGTCTCTGTTCTTATCTCTTCTAGTCTGGCCTGACCCCTCTCCACGTGGCTTCCTTCATGGGGCACCTGCCCATTGTGAAGAACCTCCTGCAGCGGGGGGCATCCCCCAACGCCTCCAACGTGGTAAGTCCTTGTGGACAGAAGCATTCCCGGGGGGCAGCTCTGGTAGGTGCTCCCCAAGTCTCCCTTCTGGGGATAGAGGGCAAATTCTCAGGGGATGAAGCCTTCAAACATGGGGAGCACATCTTTCTCTAGCCGTGGTGGTGAACGTGAGGCCACAGCAGGCTGTTTGTATCACTGAGGATTTAAAGGTTCACCACCACTGATCTGTACGAGCACTCTCCAATTACATTTGTCACATGTGTGTGACTCTTTGGGGCTTCATTTTGGACACTTGGAACTTCTGTAAGTGTTATCTGCAAATGTGTTTACATTTTTAAATATTTATTAGCTGTGAGGCTTAAGTAGATCTAGAACACACACACATACACACACAAACAAACATGTGTGTATACACATAGGCTAAAGAGGTGTTTGCAGTGCAACTCCACCTCTTGGGTGACCCCCTGTCCCCCAACTGTTCCAGTCTGACACTTTGGATCCTGTGTATATCCTATGACAAACCCAGCATGTATTAAATATTCTATAATTTTGTTATTTTACAGAAAGTAGAGACCCCACTACACATGGCAGCCAGAGCAGGGCACACAGAAGTGGCTAAATATCTGCTCCAAAATAAAGCCAAAGTCAATGCCAAGGCCAAGGTGAGTAGGATGGGGGGGAAGAAGGCTCTTATGGGGTAGGAATTCAATCAGGGTCTCTATTCCTATTAGCCAGGGCCTCAGATCTATGGCTGTGCATCACCTGTCCTTCTCTTTGGGTCCTGAAAAGCTCAGATTCAGCTTTGCAGGGGTTTTGACAAGCCTAGAGGTATTTTCCCTCCAAGTTGTGTTTGTGTACAGTAGCAGAAGTCCAAGAAATGTGACTGGGCAAGAGTGGTCACTGGGCTGAAGATCAGTGGCAAGATAAGGAGGACAGCATCCAGGGACAGTCACTCTGAACTTAGTTGACTCCAAGTGAGAGGGTCCCTTGTTGTAAGCATGCTGTCAGGTGCAGACAGAAGCTGTGAAGACAGCTGATAAGTTAGCTAGTGGGTGGTTGTGAACCAGGACTCCCTTTGTTCTAAAAGCAAACATACATCCTTTAACTCTTTACTCTTGGAGATGCAGCCCGGAGCACCTAGCATAGGCGCAAGCATTAGGTTTGCTGCCCTGTCCTCCAGGGGCAGGCGCCACGCACCCAGTCTCTCTGTTCTTATCTCTTCTAGTCTGGCCTGACCCCTCTCCACGTGGCTTCCTTCATGGGGCACCTGCCCATTGTGAAGAGTCTTTGGGGCTTCATTTTGGACACTTGGAACTTGAACCCCAAAGGTGTGGAGTTAGGGCCAGATCTGCTTGGGCCACACCTTCACATGAGCCCAACAAAGCGGAGACTTCGTCTGTGGAGCCCCTGCGATGTTAGCCATAAATCCAAAGGGGGCAGCCTTCCCTGTCAGCAGTTCAGGCTCTGCTATGCCATCTGGCAGAAAGAAGATCAAATTAGAGACAGGACCCCAGAAAGGACTGGGGAGATGCCACAGCAATTGCAGTTAATTGAGTGTCTGTCATCTGCCCAGATCCCATCCCTGACTCTATGAGGTAGATTTTTCCCTCCCACTTTACAGAGGGGAAGGCTGAAGCTTTGGCCAATTAAGTAGAAATAACAACTTGCTTGAGGAGTTGTAGAATTTAAAAAAATGGAGGGGCCAACTAGATAGCTCAATGGATTAAAATGCCTGCTGAGGCAAGCCCAGGCAGGCGCAGGAACCCTGGTTCAATCCCCCAGCACCACATGCCAAGCCAGCCCTGCCCCAAGGGTGGGCTGGGTGGGTCAAAGTCTTGGTGGAGTGGCACATGCCTGTAATCCCAGCACAGGAGGCTGAAAGCAGGAGGATCTCCATGAGTCCAAGCTGCATAGTGAGACCCTGCAACAACCAAATACATAAATAATAATAATAATAATAATAATAATTTGTTTAAAAAATTAAAATAAAAAAGATGGAGCACATGGGCTTGGGTAACTCAGAGATGTGATTCAGATTTCAGCTTTTTGTCTGCTTGGTCATGAAGAGAAAGTCACACAGCCTTTTTGACTGAGGCAGGAAAATCAAAGGTTCCAACCCAACCCAAGGAAGTAGGCATTTAGTGAGATATTGTCTCAAAATAAAAATTTAAAACTAACAAGGGCTGGGGATACCCCTCAATTCTCCTTAGTGACCCTACCCCCAACCTACACAGAGTTACCACATTACCATATCATGCTCTCTGTTGTCATTTTGGGCTCCAGGACGACCAGACCCCTCTTCACTGTGCAGCTCGAATTGGCCACACAAACATGGTGAAGCTCCTGCTGGAAAACAGCGCCAACCCCAACCTTGCTACTACAGCTGGGCACACTCCCCTGCACATTGCAGCCCGGGAGGGCCATGTGGAGACAGCCCTGGCCCTGCTGGAAAAGGAGGCCTCTCAGGCCTGCATGACCAAGGTACAGCCTTCTATTGCCTGTCCTGATATAAGCCTGCCTTCCACTGGCTCAGGACGAGCCTGGGAACTCAGTGAGACCCAGACGCTGGGCCAGGATGGCACCCCAACCCCTAGAAGTGGTCACTTTTGTAAGCCCACAGTGTTGTCTGCTCCCTGGGAAAGGGTGGGGAGTCAGGCTCTGCTGCCCATGTGGCCTACGCCCATTTCTTGGCCTAACTGTCAACACCTCCTAAACTAATCACCGACAGGAGTAGGAGTCAGCCCTCGCCCTCAGTGAGCTGAAAGTTGTGACAGTCCCCAAGATGTCCCCTCCTAGAGAGAGCCTAGGCATGGGAATGCACTGCAGGTTCCTGGGTTTTAGCCTCAGAGGATCCCACTGAAGTCTCCATGGTCTGACTGGCATTCCCAGGCTGCTAATTGGGGCAGCATTGCACCCCAGCTTCCTTCAGGGCAGACATCACCAACTCCTGGGGTCTGATGTCCTGTGTTTCTCCTCAGAAAGGATTTACCCCTCTGCACGTGGCGGCCAAGTATGGGAAGGCGCGGGTGGCCGAAGTGCTGCTAGAACGCGATGCGCACCCGAATGCTGCTGGCAAAGTGAGTGTGGGCCTCACGCTGGGGTTAGAGGAGCTGAGGGCACCCTAGGGAATTCCCTTGTCCACCAGTGCTGCCGCCTGCTAGTATGAAGCACTGTGGGGAGTGCAGCCTCTGGAGAGAGCTGCCTTTCCACCCAAGGCCCTACCCAGTGGGAAGGGCGTTCCCCGGGGTGTCCTGAGCAGAGAGGGACGGCCCTGTTGCTGTGGCAGCTGTCCTTAGTGACTCCCAGGCAAGCCTGGCTTGGATGGAGCTTTCTTCTTAAACACCTTTGTAGGTTTTGTGGTGCTGGGCTGGAACCCAGGCCTCATGTGTACTAGGCAAGTGCCCTGCCCCTGAGCTGTGCCCTGGGCAGCGCAGCTTTGGATGGATTTGGCCAGATTTTACTCATATGTAGTAAGTGCTGTGAATATCAAAATAGGCCCTATGTCCCCAAATGGCTCCCTGGGACAAGTCCACCTGAGTGAGGGGTTCTTTCTTCCTGTCTCATCCTCTGCAGAATGGCCTGACACCCCTGCACGTGGCTGTTCACCACAACAACCTGGACATTGTGAAGTTGCTGCTGCCCCGAGGTGGCTCCCCACACAGCCCTGCCTGGGTAAGGCCCCAGAGTCAGACTTTCCTAAAAGTTACCCACAGCATTGGTGCTGCTGTTTAGGGGCCAGGAGAGGCAAGGAATGCAGGTAACACTTCCCACGGTAGGCTGCTTGGTGGGGGTAGAGTTCACATGATGCATGGAGCAGGTCCCCATGGCTGTGTGCAGCTGAGTCTGGTAAGCTGCCTGTCACAGGGGCCTCAGTATCTCCTGAACCTTGGCCCAGACACCCTAGCAGGGGCTGCAGAAGTCCCACCTTGCCCCTGCCCTTGCTGTGGCTGAACTGGGGCCGTGGGCCCCTGGAGGAGCACAGGGTGCAGGGAGCTTGTGGGAACTGTGAATCAGTGAAGCTTTTTTGATCTAACACAAAGACTGGGGCTTTCTGTCACCGAGAAGCACCTACCTGTACTCTTCTGATGTCCAGTATGCTAGCCTCTTATAGGAGGCCAAGTTTGGGTTTGGGTGCAAGATGAGGCTAGAGCCAGAATACGAAAGGAACATTTTGGGGAACAGGCTGCCCCTCTGCCCCATGGACAACTGTGAGAGCTGTGTGGGGCTTCTGTCTGAAGCATGGGTGCTATGGGGCTGGTGGCCTGAGCAGAGGGACAGGGGTGGGTGTCCTAGGGATACGTGCAGTTCAGGAGGCTGTGCTGGTGGTGGCAGGGGCTATAAAGGGAAAAGCGAAGGATGGTGCCCCTCTGGGCTTCCTTGGGTAGGGAGATAGAATCTGTGCCTGGTTTGTAGGCGGGTTCCCTCCTCAGCATGATGATCCCCTCAGCCTCACGGCCTTGTCTTGCTGGGCTCCTGGGGCTCCCATCCCTGCCACTGTCATAGCAGCTGCACGTCACCATTAGAGAGAGCCATGTGGCCCTGCTAAGATGTTGCCTTACTCCTGCTTCTAAAAATAAAAAGCCAGACTCCCCTCCTCCTCCTCACTCGCCTACTTATACAAAAGTAACCAGAGCCAGGTCCATGATATTTAAAGAGAGCTAAATGCAAGCACAAACCCTGTACAGATGGGTTTTGTTTCCATGGCAAAAATAGTTCCTAAAGTAGTCTGGCAATTTTGTAGAATTTCACATGCAAATCCCTGCACACCCAAACCAAACCCTCCCCTTCCTAGTCTGATGCTAGCACTATGCTGATCAGGCAGAGCCCTCCTGAGCCTGCATTCCTTCCGATGAGCTCATTTCCTGGGAAAGAAGAGCCTTGGACAGGCACACATCGCTCCCTGACCTCTCCCTGATGTCCAGCCACTTTGCCCTTGCCCTTGTCCCTCACCAAGGTCATCATTCCCTTTAGTCCTGGTCTAGAGACACCACCAGGGCAGAGGTTCTGTCCTGAGTCTGGCTGTCACTCTTGTCCCTTGGTTTAGACCTGAGGTGACCTGGCAGCCATAGCCATCTGCTGGCTGGTTTGCTCCTGGCAGTATGCATGCTATTCTGCCCGCCCTGATACCCACAGCTGCCCAAGCACTGGGGACTCCTGAGCTGGTCCATGACCACCCTGCAGGCCGCTCTTCCCAGAGAATGAGGATCTGCATTTAGAGAACCATGGCTCCTTTCCTTTGCTATCTTTTGACATAGTAGAAAAATCATTTTGCTTAGTTTTATTATAATCAAAATGCCAATATTATCCTTTGAACGTGATTCCCAAAGAATGTTATGTGTTTTCTTACCATAGTCCAAGAGGAGGGATTCTGCACAGAGAATTTTTCCATTAAATTTAATTTGGAGAGTAAGGAGCAACTTTTTTAATTTCCCCATAAAATCACTTCACAGAGCTTACTATCCTTTTCCGTGGTGCCCAGTGCTGCGTAACTGGCATTTTACCATATTGATAAACACCCCTCTCTTCCCTTCCCTTTTCCTTGCCAGGGATCCTGGCAGAGCCTGAAATGTTGGCTGCCACAGTGAGAGAGGGAACTCACCTTGTGGGACAGTGGAGGGCTGCAGGCCAGGTCTGAAGAGGGGGCCTGTCACCTCCCACCATGTGCTGTGGGACTGGGCCCTGCATCTGAATTTCTGGGCCTTGCTGCTCAAAGTATGGGCCACAGGATGCAATCTGAGTCCTCTCAGTCCTTGTGAAGGAGGACCTATGTCTGAGGATCCCCAGTGATTTCACATGCACACACTGTGGCTCAGGAAGCCCACTCTGGGCTCGGCTCTGCTTGGCCATTGTTCACCACTGGGCCCAAGTGGCTAGGGAACTTCACACTGCAGAGAACTGGGTCCTGATCCAGGGAATGGGACAAGAGAAACAGGCTGGCCTTACTTTCCATGATTGTGCGGAAGCTCAACACATGCTGGAGGAACCTTGTGCTTTATGATGGTGACCCTTTGTAGACCCAGCTGTCTGTGTGGGGCAAGGAGCTTCCTTCAGGCAGAAACCCAGGCTCTGCTTCCTTCAGAGCACAAGTTTTGCTGACAGAACCGTTAGCTCAATGGACAGTACACAGTGAGAGAGCCACAGTTGACTCCCGGGGCCGAGTTCCTGTCTGCCTTGGTAGGGACCAACACTGTCTTGCGAACCTTGGGCTGCAAAGGCATGATGGCTGCTCAGTGCTTCACTATCTTACTTTGGGGAAGTGCCTTCTTATGTGTTATCATGTTTGATCCACCCAACAGTTTTAAGAAATGAAGTAGCTGGTGTTATCCACTTAATGGTTTAAAAGAAATACAAAAGGAAGTCTGGATGGTAGACTGCCTTGTCCCGGGCTACATACCTGCTTAGGAGTGGAACTAGGCCTGGCGCCTGGGCCTCCCAAGACATCCCTTGCCTGGTGCATGGCCCTTCACACCACCCAACCTGGAGCCAGTGGCACAGGGAAAGATAAAAGGCTGTGTCCTCTTTTCCTTTTTGTTGGGGAATCGGGGTTCCTACTGCAGGAAAGGAGAGGTGAGGGCCTCTGACTTCCTCCCCGACCTCCTCCTGGGGCGGCTCTGCAGCCTGCCCATCTCAACTCTGGCTTTCTCAGCACAACACGAGAAAACAGGTGGCCAAGGAAGCAGCCACCTGCTGACTGCAAGAGCCTGGAGGCCGCCTCTTCCCAGATCGCTGGGGCTGCCTGTTGACTCAGTGACTCTCCTGGGTGACGCTGGCCTGCCTGGGGCTACTTGGAGCTCTCCTGCAGGCACTCCTGTTGCTCCTGTCCCCACGCTTGGGTTTTCTTCCATTTCAGAATGGCTATACACCCTTGCACATCGCTGCCAAGCAGAACCAGACGGATGTGGCCCGCAGCCTGCTGCAGTACGGGGGTTCCGCAAATGCAGAGTCTGTGCAGGGCGTGACTCCCCTCCACCTGGCTGCGCAGGAGGGCCACACAGAGATGGTGGCACTGCTCCTCTCGAAACAAGCCAATGGCAACCTGGGGAACAAGGTAGGAGTGGGGCCTCCTCCTTACAATGCCCCGCCCCCGCTCCTACACCCACTTTGTCTCAGCAGCGCTCTGTGTGTTCCACGCCTGAGGTCAATGGTATATGCGTGGGCATCTGTGTGTCTGTGTGTGTGTTCCTTACATTAGCTCTGAGTCTTAGCTCAGTTGTGCAGACAACAGCCCAGGCTGCCTGATTCCAAAGCAACAGAACCCAAAGCCTTTGCCGGTTCTCCTGTTCCATCCTATCTTAAACGGAGCCATGCAGGGAGCCACAGGAAGGTCATTAGGAAAATCAAGAGTTCACTTCCCCAAATAAGGCCTGGTATCTATTTCAGTAATGTCCTAAATTGGTATGAAATATGCATTTTCTATACGGGAAGGCTTTTTTTTTTTTTTTTTTTGCTTTTTTTGTTTGTTTTTTTGTTTGTTTGTTTGTTTGTTTTAAGCAGCCCTATACATTAGGAGTTGAGAACATAGAACTTACAGGAGTATGAACATGAAGCCTTCTGAAATGTTCCATGATCCTTGGGTCATAGGAACCCTTCCTGGGTGAGATATTCCTGGTTTTCCTCAGTTTGTCAAAAGAATTTATAACCCAAAACCAACTAAAAATTACTTTTTAAAGAATTGCTGTCATATTCAAATACATTTGACCAATAATTCACCCCTTAAACTGTAAAGTTTAATGGTGTTTAGTGTATTTACAGGACTGGCCAATCATCACCACTGTGTAGCCCTTGCAGGGCAGCACAGCCTTGTCTCCATCAGTACCTCCACAGTCCCCCAGAGGCCCTCCTAGAGCTTAGCTGCTCTGTCCCTTTGCCTGCTCTGGGTGTTTCATACACATGGAATCATAGAATAGAAGGAGCGCTTGATATGATAGATTAATGTAACAATTTCTGAAAGATGAGCATTTTAAGGGTAACTTCAGACTTCCTGAAGCCTTTCAGTCCACTGGTCCTTCCTGTCCACACCGGGACGGGCAACTCTCCAAGTGAGAGCTGTCATGTGGAGGGCTGCACTGCACGGCAGTCTGGGTATCTTCCGTGTCCACTTCCTCAGGCTGTGTGAGGAAACAGGAATGATGGTGGGTCTCTGCCAGAAACACGCTCTCACCCACCCACCCCCATCTCAGATTCTTGGGGTGATCTTGAGAGTTGAGCAAGGCCCCTGCCTTGAAGGTTGGTGGTTGCTGAGTGACGCCCTAGGCAGCCTGGGGATGTGCAGGGGGCAGAGGAGGGAAGTAGGAGCACTGCGGCAGGGTCACTGCCTGTGCACATGCCACACTGCAAACCAGACCTCTGATGCCATCCTCATGAGAAGGCTGAGCTGGGAAGGGGGGGTGTGGGCTTTTCACTCCCTGGGCTCCATGTCCTTGCTGTAACACTGTACCCACTGTGGCGATGATATGCTATCTTCACACGGCACCTCATGGGCTTCAAAATGATCTTGCGTGAGCTGTGCTTTCTCAAATGCTCCTCATTTTGCTCTTGAGATTAAGTCAAGTGACTGCCCCTACATCCTCAGTCAGAAACCCAACTCTCTGAAGTCTAGTGTGGAAACGTTACCATTGGAAGGCACCATACCATTCTTCTGTGACCTATGGCTAATCCTGCTCATTCCTCATCTATGCAAATAGAGTTTTCCTGGAGCACAACAATGCTCACTTGTGTCCATGTTGGCCAGAGCTGCTTAATGCCACAACTGGCAATGATAGGCCCTTGCTACAAAGCCACAGGTCTGAGGTCTTTACGGTCCAGCTCTAAACAGGAAACACTGTCAACACCTCATCTAATTTAGCCACCTCACTTTTTAGATAAAGGTATTGAGGTCAAGAACAGGAAGAGTTTTACCAAATAGTTGGTTACACGCAGGTCGGTGGCTACAGAGCCAGGTCAGGTTCCCAAACCTCAGTGCTCTGTTGTCATTGCTATGGCCTGAATCCTTTCCTGCCTCAAAGCTGATGCAGATTTTTTTTCTTTCCAGAGTGGACTCACTCCCCTCCATCTGGTGGCACAAGAAGGGCATGTGCCAGTGGCAGATGTGCTGATCAAACACGGTGTCACAGTGGATGCCACTACCCGGGTAAGCCTGGCAGCCTCTGCTGCCCACAGGGCCTACCCCTACTGCTTGCCTTGACCCCAGCCAGGCCCCCTCCCTCACCACTCAGAGCTGCCTTTGCACAAGGCCAAGCCCTAAGACCTAAGCAGAACTTTCTTTCTTCCCCTTCCTGGGGCTGGTGGCAGAGCTTGAAGACACCAGTCACTTGACATTTGAGAAATTGTAAAAGTGCCTTATGCCTGTGAGCCTCTGGAGAAATAACTTGAGAGGGGTGCTTAATCCTGAGTCCTGTGCCCAGTGTGCAGAAAGGGGGGTCCACATGTCAGGCTTCCCTAGAGTGGCTCATGGTGTGACTTTCTGCATGTGGGGGGATCTTGCTGTCTTTCTCTGCACCTCTTCCCTGTGCAGGGGGCCTGTAGGGCAGTGTAAGGTGACCACATGTGCACATACACAGGCTGTGTGCTGTGACGAGGGCATTTGTAGGTGACTGGGAAGCACGGAGGAGCTGAGGGACTTGCTGGCTCTGTGAGGGGAGCCAGAACCCCAGAAGGAAGCCCGATCTTCCCAGCAGGGGAAGAAGGAAGAAATTTGTGAACAAGTGCATTTTTCCCCTTTTGTCACAAGGTATCTGGTGACACTGGCCAGCCCCACCCTTGTCTTCCAGAGCTGCCCACTGGAGCAAGGGCAGCAGGCAATGTTGCTGTACTGAGGGCACTGAGAAAAGTCTAGAACGTATTTTTTAATCCTCAAGTGCTAGAAGCTTCAGTCATAACCTGTTTAAAACCTGAGAATACTCTATACACTCAGGGTTTCTCTTGTGGGTCCAGGTTGGTCCTGGGGCCCTGCTCTGAGAAATCCTATTCTGTAGGTTACAGTTTCCTGGAGGACCCCAAAGCCATTCCATTAAAGAGGGTCCAGTCCAGCCTACAGGATCTGGAATTTGTCACTGGTTCCCCTAGTACATGGGACCAAAGACTTCAGAAGGCTTTGGCTTGTTGGCCTGTGGGGGCAGCTCCCAAATACTCAACAGGAGTTGTGGTATAGGTCAGTGTTGGAGCACCCACCCAGCCTGCACAAGACTTTGGGTTCCACCATCAACACCCAAAAACAAAAGCAAACCAAAAGTCTCAGCAGGACAATTGGTTCCTTGACAGCCTGAACCCATATGAATAAATAATCACAGCACAGTCATTTCAAGCAGTGACAAATACCCATAAACTCCTTAAGTTGCACCTTCGTGGCAGACCCAGTGCACGTGGGCAGGGTCTGCTGTGATTCCACGTGGCCTCCTTGAAGGAACTCCTGGGATTCTGGCCCCGTTCTTGCCAGCATCTTTGCACACTTGGTGCCAACTCCTTCTAGATGTTGCCACCAGCCCCAGCCCCATTCCCTGATCCCCTCAGTCTCAGGTAGCCCCTCCCCAGGGCCACTCACTTCTCCCCATGCAGACACTTGCCCCCCATGCTGTGTTCAGGGGGTGCCACACCATCTCAGTCCTTGCCATCTGACACAGAGCATCTTCTTCCCAGGCCAGTGGGTTCTGGCTGGTGACAGCAGTGCAGCTTACAGCAGCTGCTGCCTCCTGTCCTTTAGGAGAGTGCCATAGGGCGGTAGAATTCCCAAGGAGAAGTTTACTGTAAACCTAAGTCTGCCCTGCTGGGCACTCATCCTTTACATTTCAGATGGGTTACACACCACTCCATGTGGCCAGCCACTACGGAAACATCAAGCTGGTGAAATTTCTGCTGCAGCACCAGGCAGACGTCAATGCCAAGACCAAGGTACAGGCGCCTGAGCCTCGAGTCCTACTCTGGCTCTGCTCGAGCACCCAGAGCATGCGCTGGCGCTAAAGGAGGAAATGAGAAAAACACTTCTCTCCTCATGAGTAGGGCAGAAGGGGCTGTGGAGGTGGGGGGGCCTTTCTTGAGCAGCTGGCTGGGTCACCATTGTCTGCCTTACTTTACAGCTTGGGTATAGCCCCCTACACCAGGCTGCCCAGCAGGGACACACGGACATTGTCACACTGCTGCTGAGAAGTGGTGCTTCCCCGAACGAGGTCAGCTCGGTGAGTGGCCGCTGTCGCCGAGCCACAGAAGTCCTGTCATGTGTCACAGAAGTGACACATGACATCACCCATGGGTGTGCCTGAGGATGGGTCTGTGATCAGTTTCTCTTTCTGGTGACTGAAGATTGTCCTTTTAAGTAGCAGTTATGCCCTTTCTGGCTTTAAATATTCTAGACACTCCATCTCAAGTGTATGAAACAGGTGTCCAAGTGGCACGTGTGGACACCACTGCATGTCTTAGGGTCCCTTGGGACTCTCATTAGCGACCTGTGGTCACCGGTGAGGATGTAGCTTCTCTTCTGGCCACATGGGCTGTGATTAGATCTCTCTACCACCACTGCAGTTGTGAAGTGTGTGATGGTGTGGGTGTCAGGGTAACTGTACAGGATACCTCGAGAGACAGAGACCTCGCTATCGGTTTATGCTCACTCAGTCGTCCTCTTAAAACCAAAGCTGAAAACATGCCCTGCTGTTTCTGGCACTCTCTCATTACTGATGCCCATCCCAGTTCCTCGAAGTACAGGGATCATTTCAGTCCTGTATTTCTCAGGAATAATGTCACCCTATGCTCTCCTCATCCTGCAGCCGCGTGGGGTGGCTTCCCATTTGTCCCTCCAGGGTTCCCTCTTGGGCAGTGGCTGTGCCGTCCAGGGCTGTGCCCTGCTCACCTTTCAGGGCTGACCGCCCAACACCACAGCTGAAGAGACTGCCTCCTCCTCCTCCCTCCCGGCTTCTGGGCACTGAGATGCTCCTGCTCTCCCAGGGATCTGCTCTTAGCTACAGGACATTTCTGTCCCCTGGCCCCTTCCACACCACACTCCCCTCTGCCCTGCTCCTGTGTCTGACTGAGCTCTCCTGGTCTCTGTCCTAGAATGGAACCACACCTTTGGCAATCGCTAAGCGTTTGGGCTACATTTCTGTGACAGACGTGCTCAAAGTCGTCACGGATGAAACCAGTGTAGTGGTACGTCTGCCTTCCCCTGCACCCGAATCCCAGTCCCCCACCCCCCAGGGCTTTGGGTTATTCTGGGAGCCTAGAGCCTCTGCCCTGCAGGAAGCACCCATCCAAAGGGCAGCAGAGCAACCTGCTTCAGGCGGACTGTGCTGCCACCTAGTGGCCGAAGGAAGCAGCAGCGGGGGGAATCCCATTATTTCCTGAAGGCGCTCCCTTCAGGCGCCCCAGGGAGTGGTTTTCTTTTTGGGGGACACACTTCCTTGCCTACTTCCTCTCTGTCACCTCATGGTCACCACATGCTTGCTTGACAGGAAAAGGATTCACTGCTCTGTTTGGGTTGAGCCATCTGCTTTTCTCCTTTCAGTTAGTCAGTGACAAGCACCGGATGAGTTACCCTGAGACGGTAGATGAGATCCTGGATGTCTCTGAGGATGAAGGTAAAGTGTGGGATGCAGAACTCTGGGGACTGAGGGGCCCTGAGCACCCCAAGTTGCGTCCTGCCCCCTGCATGGCCATACACAAGGTCCCTCATAGCAGACACATTCAGGTTCGGCTGGGAGGGGTCTTTTTATAGATGTTGCTCATTATCAAAAAATTCCTTTTGTATGATTGTAGGTTCAGGAAAATTGACATCTGAGGGATGGAAGTTTAAAATCTCTCACAAGCCCGTGTGTGTGTGTGTGTGTGTGTGTGTGTGTGTGTGTGTGTGTGTGTGTTTGTGTGTAATAGATATTATGTGGGAGTGAGATTTGACTCAGATCAGAGTTGTGATAGCCTTCTGCCCGGTGCTCTTCTAGTGCCCTGACTGAAGCGGGTTATTTAAAATCAGTGAGAATGCATCTGAAAAAGCTGTTCCCCGGACTCCCAGTGGGCCAGTAGACTGGGGGATTCTTCCACATTGTGAAACCACAACAGAGTCAACTCAAGGAATTACAGAGTGCTTTAAGTGTCATTCCTTCCTCCCATAAGCCCTTACCCCCTTGAGCACAAGAGAGGGACGCAGAGCAGTGGTTTGGGCTGCATCCCGTCTGTAGTCCAGGGACCCTGGGATTCTGTCCAGTGGACGCGTAGCTGTCTGCGCGCCCTTGTAATGTACCTCGCACTGTACCTGACTTCAATGCTGTCCTTCTTTCATCTTGGCTCTCCTTTGCTTCCTAGGAACCGCTCACATAACTATAATGGGTATGATATGCTCTCTGTTCCCCGTGGTCTTTCTCACCAGAGTGCATCCCACCCTGAGCACCCCAGGTTCTCACTAACCCATTGCTGCTCTCCATCCTCCAGTGGCTCACAGCAGAGCCAGGAGCTTGATTAAATCAGGACATCCTCACCTGCAAGCCCCATGCCGGCACCCACGCGAGCTGATCCATGTCGTGTCTGTGTCCATGCCACTGTGTCTGTGGTCATCACTGCATGAGCTCTTGTGATCCCATCTGTCAGCCCCAGATCCCACAGCTGGGCACTCCTGGGGAAGTGCCTGTCTATGAAAGGCGAGGGCAAGTGCCAGGCTCCAGCCCAGGTTCAGCGGGAAGAGAAACCAAGGGGACACCTAGGGTGCAGGCAGCTGACTCACCTGAAGCTTGGACAACAAATGATAATTGTGAAATGGAGGATTGTGGGATAACAGAAATAATCATGGAAATAATGAAGTTTCAGCAACCATGGTTACTAAACTCTTATAGCCTCTCTGAAAGAGTGGGTTCAATTCCAGTGTAGTCAATTCTTCTGTGGTGGTGGTGAAGAGAGCAGTAACAGCTCTTTCCAGTGTCCCTGAATGCCCCCAAAGGGCTGTTCTGCAGTGGGAACTTGTTGTCCTTCCTCCCAGTCCAGGTATAGACAGGGAGATTAGGAACTAGCCGGCCTTCTCTGAGCTCCAGGACTGGGAGACCAGGATGGGGCAAAGTGTGGGGCTCAGGGGCCCCTGGAGCATCAGAGTCCACCGTGTGCTCCTTGGGAAAGCAATAGGTGGTCTTCTGCCTCCAGGCTCACTCACTCAGGTTCTTGTTGTTCCAGGGGAAGAACTCACAGGCTCTAAGGCTGAGCGGCAGGATTCCAGAGACGTGGATGAAGAGAGAGAACTGCTGGACTTTATGCCGAAGCTAGACCAGGTGTAAGTAAGCAGGGCTTGCTGCATGGGTCACACGATAGGTGGCCAAAGTGCAGCGCTGGGACTCAGAGTGGAGTGGCTGACTGGGGACAGGTCATGACAAGGCAGGCCCTGGGTGTGCGGCCAGCAGCGGTGGGTGGGATGCGCCTAGCTTGTGAGGATAGGCTGGCTTGCACTTTCCCTACCGAGGTCACACACAGGACCAGATCACAGTGTGCTGGTGAGGGGGTCTTTTCTCTCTTGGCATCCCGAACTCCAGCACTCTCCTAGTAGCTCACAGCCTCTCATCTAAAACCCCTCTTCTCACCAATTCTGTGGAGAAGGTTTATATTGAAAATTGCCAGACTAGGCTGGGAAAATAGATCAGCGGTCTAAGTGCCTGCCTGGCAAGCACAAGGAACCAGGTTCAATCCTTGGGACCACATGCTGTACTGGCCCTGGAACCCCAGGCACACCGTGCTGGCCATCAAACCTGGGCGTGGTATTTACTGAGCACAATGAAAGGATGCATAAGCCGAATGAGAATATCACTAAATAATAAGAAGCATAAAAACTAACAGAAATTTTGGAGCTGAAGAGGTTCAGCAGCAAACAATGAAGCCAAAGATTCAGGGAGCTCAAGGACAAGGTATTTGAAATTACCAAATTAGAGAAGCAAAAAGAACAAAAAAAGAAGGAAGAAGGAAGAAAGACAAGGAGCATATGAGTCCTCATAAAATGACTAAGAGAAAAGGGAAGAGGCAGATCATTTGTATGAAGAAATAATAGATGAAAATTCCCAAACTGGGGCAGAATATGGACAACCAGATTCCAGAACCCCAAAAGAATTCTGACAAAAATAATATCCAGTGAAGTCCACATGACACAGGACAGTCAAGTTGTCAGAGGTGAAGAAAAACATCAATAATAGCAAGAGAAAAGCGACTCGTGCTATACAAGGCAGTTATACCTGAGGCAAGTGTCTTAGGAGGAACCTTGCAGATGAGAAAGGAGTTGAGGGGCCAAGGAGATAGCTCAGTGTTCTAAGTGCCTGCCTGGCAAGCGCAAGAACCTGGGTTTGATCCCTGGTACCGCATGCCAGGCTGGCCCCAGAACCATGCTGGCCACCAGAACCAGGTATGGCAGTGCACGCCTGTACTCCTAATGCTGAGGAGGCTGAAACAGAAGGATCACTGAATCCAAGCTGTGTAGCGACCCTGTACCAAATAAATAAATGAATATTTAAAAAAGAATGAAAGAAAGAGAAAGAAAGAAAGAAGAAAGAAGGAAATAAGAAAGAAAGAAAGAAAGAAAGAAAGAAAGAAAGAAGAAAGAAAGAAAGAAAGAAAGAAAGAAAGAAAGAAAGAAAGAAAGAAAGAAAGAAAGAAAG